ATATATATATTTCAATATTTCTTTAAAAACATTTAGGACAGTAATGAAATCAGGTCCTGAGATCGTCAAAGCAGGCCTGAGGTCGTTCTTTGAGAGTGCTGCTGATGATGTGGAGAAGATGGTGGAGAATCTCAAACTGGGCAAAGTATCCAAGGGCAATCAGGTATGTGTTTATATTGCTGATTCTGAATATTTCAGATAATCAAACTTTATATACTTAGCACAAAAAGTAAGGAAATTTGTGTTTGGTAGATTATTTCTTTGTTAAAGTAAATGTTATAGCAACATCTGGAGGTACCAGAAGGTCAAAACAAGTGTCAATAACAACAGCAAAATAAGCTGATTGGCAGAGAAAATCTGGCAAATTTTTCATGTGCACGACCCACACACTCAGCTCTACTGCTCATCCCACAAATGCATGTTCCTTACAAATTTGGCACCATTTAAAAGGGAAATTAACAGGCTTTCCAGCAGTACAAGATTTATTGTTAAGAAGCATTGTTGCAACAAAGAAACAAGCCACCAAACACAAATTTCCTGATATTTTTTTGTGCTAAATTCACATCCTGTTGCTTCTGTCCTTCCAAGCAAGTGAAAGGCGTTTCCCAGAACATCAACTACACAACTATCGCCTTGCTTCCAGTGCTCACCTCCCTGTTTGATCACATCGCTCAGCACCTCTTTGGAGATGATGTCATTTGTAAGCTATTCCGCGTGTTTTTGTTGTTATAATATGTTTAAAGGTGTTACTTTATAGCTAAGCTGTGCTTCTTTTTGGTGGCACGCAGTGGATGATCTACAGATCTCCTGCTATCGCATCATGTGCAGCATCTACTCTGTGGGCACCGTCAAGAATCCACATGTAGAAAGGTAATGTTTTGCATAAATAACTTAAAGAATTWAAAAAATAGGTACTTGTGAGGGCTTTTAAACTCATTTTTATGTGAACAGGCAGAGACCAGCTCTTGGAGAATGTCTGGCTCACCTTGCAGCAGCAATGCCAGTGGCCTACTTAGAGCCCCATCTTAATGAATTTAACGCTTTTTCTGTGTACACCACAAAGACACCAAGAGAGAGAGCCAGTGAGTTCAAAATWTCTGTATAAATAGATTCTGTTCTCCAAAATGTTGTTAGTGACTACCAATCTTTTTATGTCCAAGTCCTCGGCCTTCCTAGCGAAGTGCAGGAGTTGTGTCCAGACATCCCAGCGCTGGATGTTTTGCTAAAAGATATCGGCGATTTGGCCGAGTCGGGGGCTCGATACACCGAGATGCCTCACGTCATTGAAATCACTCTGCCCATGCTGTGRAACTACCTGCCACGTTGGTGGGAGCGAGGACCTGAAAACTTCCCCGAGATGGAYGGTCAACTCTGCACCGAGGTCACATCAGAACATCTCAACCAGCTGCTGGGCAGCATCATGAAAATTGTCGTCAACAACTTGGGTATTGACGAGGCGTCCTGGATGAAGAGGTTGGCAGGTGAACGCAGATTAAACTTTAGCAATGCGTCCCCAGTTCACCTACTCTCTGTTGAGGTGAAGTTGCTCACTTTGTTTTCCTCTGCTAGTGTTTTCCCAGCCTATTGTCAGCAGAGCAAAACCAGAAATGCTTAAATCCCACTTCATCCCAACGATGGAGAAGCTGAAGAAACGTACATCAAAGGTGGTGGCTGAGGAGGACCATTTGAGGATGGAGGGAAAGTCAGAGGGAGATGACGAGGATGGCACGATACGTGATGAGTTTGCTGTCCTCTGCAGAGACCTGTATGCCCTCTACCCTTTGCTTATCCGCTACGTGGACAACAATAGGTACGATAAAATGACTAAAAGCACTGTTAAATGTTTTAAATCAAGACTCTCAACTAAATGTTTTCTTCTTTGTTGTTTTTTCTTTGTTGTTTTCTTCTTTGTGGTTTTTTCTTTCTTAATGTTTTCTTTGTTGTTTTTTTTCTTGATGTTTTCTTCTTTCTTGTTTTTCTTTGTTGTTTTCTTTTTTCTTTATGTTTTCTTTGTTTTATTTTTTTGTCTGTGTTGTTTTCTTCTTTGTTGTTTTTTCTTTGTTGTTTTCTTTGTTGTATTTCTGCTGCAGAGCGAGGTGGCTGACATGCCCTGATCCAGATGCGGAAGAACTTTTCCGAATGGTCGGAGAGGTCTTTATTTTTTGGTCCAAATCTCACGTAAGTATGCTTATTTGGGACATTAGCTGAAGCTAATAGTTTTTTCCTGACMTGTACTCTGTTTTTCTTCCCTTTGCAGAACTTTAAGCGAGAAGAGCAGAACTTTGTGGTGATGAATGAGATCAACAACATGTCATTCCTCACTGCAGACAGCAAAAGCAAAATGAGCAAGGTGAGGCAGTGCAAGACAGTCAGACAGTCTTGATGGTGAACTGTAATGTCAGATCTGACTTCAGGCCTCTTTAGGACAAAACTGCAAACATATTTTTAACAACTACCTGATTCTTCCTTTGTGCAGATCTTTTGTGTTGTTTTTAAAAGATTTCTGTATATTACTGACACGTTTTAGCCTCTCATTAATGGTCACTGAGTTATAACAGTTGCTTAAAAGTGGAACTTATTTGGTTTAAAATACACTCATTGACAAAATCAGTTAAGCACCCAGAAAATATTTTCTGATTTAGATGTAATTTGGTACATATGCAGAGCAGCAGTGCCAATGGAGCCATTAGGTATAACTTCAGCTGATAGATCCTGACGGTACAGTTCTTTGTCAGTTACATCCTGTCTCTGTGTGATTTATCCCTCTGGAGACAGCACCTTGGTCAACACCTGTCCGAACACGGCACATGAATTCATGGACTGCCTGATCATGTTATGTTCCTCCATCTTTCCCCACTCATATTACACTATTTTACCAAAAGTATTTGCTCACACATCTAAATGACTGTGCACAAAGCAAGATCCATAAAAACATGGATGGCAGAGTCTAGTGTGGATGAACTTGACAGGCCTCAACCTGATAGAACAGCTTTGGGATGAATTAGAGCAGAGACTGAGAGCCAGGCCTTCTGTCCAACATCAGTATGTGACSTCAAAAATGTGCTCCTGGAAGAATGGTCAAAAATCCCCATAAACACTCCTAAACCTTGTGGACAGCCTTCAGAAGAGTCGAAGCTGTTCTAGCTGCAAAGGGTGGACCAGCGTCATATTGAACCCTATGGATTAGGAATGGGATGTTCATATGTGAGTCAAGGCAGGTAAGCAAATACTTTTGCCAATATAGTGTATGTGGGATGAACTCAGATGTCAACTCTGACTCAGTTTTGATCTATCTGAACTTGAGAGTCCATTATTTAGGCTTTGCACCGACACTATCRCTGTATGCCACCACAGGGAGGTGCCACACCTGCTAACATGGGACCAGCTGTGCTTGCAGTGCCAACTCTGTTGTCCATTTGACCTGAAATTMGAATCATTGCTATATGCTCACATGACCTTCCAACATGTTCAGTTTCATGTCATTTTGACAAATTTATATGGGTGCTTAATTTTATTTTGTTAGTGAGTGRAGTTCTGTAGCCAGATCATTTTAATTAGAACTGGTTTTGCAGAAATGTTGTATTTGTTAGAGTTTTTGCTCACAGGTCTTGGTTAAACATGATGTACATGTTTTTAGCGGTTTTTAACTTAGTTCCCAGTTTTGAAACGAGTAGCAGTTCTGTTAATGAAATTCTCTCTGTGGCTGTCCATTGTGCTCTTCTTTTGGGTTGCGGCTGGGTTTCCAGGGCGGGGACACAGAGGTTAGACTTTTTTCTGCACGACCGCTGTGCTGACCGCATGGCACCTCACTTTTAGAGGAGCTTTTCATCAACCCRTCCAGCACACTGGCAACATTTGATCCACTGAACCTTCATTAAGCCGAACACACAGAAACTTACGCAAACACACGTGCATCCCTAACAGAAACACATCTAAATAGACTTTAACTTGTGAAAGTGTAAACATGATGTTAAACCGTATTAAATATTTACAATGTAAATATACTGACATTAATCTCATAAAGGATCATTGGACTAATGGGTGGGCTCCTCCTGTGGGCCATTCTCAGTCCTGCCAGTGTGTGAGGAAGGGAGTCTGGAGGCGCTTGATGAAAGTARACAACTGTAGATTTAGGTTCATGGCACTGGGCTTTACACTTAGCCAAATGTGGAAGTGAAAGTGAAAGCTCAGTGCCATCAACCCATCACTGAGTTTGCTCTTTTTTATATCATAGTTGAGTTGGAAACATTTTGTATGTCTGTTTTTCTTTTCCTGAAAGGATGCTCTTTTGTAATGTAGCTTTTCGCCTCTAGGGGACGATGTTAGTCTTCTCTGTGCTCTTTCTTCTCTCCTCCCTTAAAACGCCATGACACATCATGGTTAGTTTCCTTAGACTCCCAATTTGCCACACTAATACATGGCTTGGTGTTTAATGTCACTGAAACACATTTCTTGTTGGGTTCCCTCTTAAAAAWATATACAAAATGACCATGAACCTAACTAAAACATTAATTCACACTTATTTTATGAATTCCTCAAATTGCTTTGCACCCTCTGAACTACTCCCCTCTCACTGATAATGTTTGCTTTTTGTAGGTTAGGTCACAAAGGGTAGGTAGCCCCTAGTTGCTCTTGTTTGACATTGAACTCTGGAAAGATCACTAAATACAATCAATCTTTTCAGTTTGTTTTCCAGGTCAGCTTTTATTGTTTACTTTTACCATTAAAATGAAAACTCTCAATTAAAGACAAGAATTTTCATTCTTGAACAGGAAATGACACCTAGAAATCTAACTTTATCTGACTTGAGGCTCCTCTGCTTTTTTCTCAGGAGCAAATTGTATGAACCTGCAGATAATATGRACGACCAATAAATTCAAACATAATTTCTTATTCCCATGTTTAGATTGAAGTCACTGCCATTTTAGTGTATTGCTTAAATAATGGGTAGTTTTTGCCCAAAACAGGGCTGTCATCTGATCTGTTTATGGAGCATGCGTGTAATTGACTAAACATTTACACAATGAAGCTCATTCTTATGCAACACATTAAGTTCATAATTTAATTTGCACATTTTGGAGGAATCCAGAAAGAGCAGTTAAACAGAAGGACTGAACTCTTACAGAGCCTGAACAGGAATCTGAGGCGAGCACAGAGAAATAAACTATAGATTGTTTTTTTTTTTTTTTTGCATTACTAGTGTGATTTTTAACTGCATGGAACAAAAATAACTTCAGCAGTTTTGTTATTTAACTTTTTCTGCTTAACTTTTAACAGAGGTAACAAGAGTTTTTAGCTACCCGTACCTTTGATGGAATGCTGAATGGGTTCTCYCTTAGTTGCCTTTTTTATTATTTTTTGCATGTTTAAGATGTAATTTCACTAATTTCTTTTTATAAGACTCTTTTTTTTCTTCCCCCGTCCCAAAAGCAGTTAAATTCCCAATTTTACTTCACATTTTGCCCTCTACTTAACTCATTGAGCTCAGAGAAATAATATATATAAATTAAAGTAGTAAATTGAAATTACAAACATAATTAATGTTAAGGGTGCATACTTAAGCTGCTGCACCTCAGAACATTTATGGGACAATATGAATGCTTTGGCTCGTTGTTGTTCCTGTTCACAGGGTGGAGGCTCGGATACCGAACGCACCAAAAAGAAGAAACGAGGAGATCGCTACTCGGTCCAGACATCACTAATTGTCGCTGCCCTAAAAAAGATGCTGCCCATCGGCCTCAACATGTGCTCTCCTGCTGATCAGGAGCTCATCAACTTGGCCAAGATTCGATACTCTTTGGTAGTTTTCTTTTTAATTTAAATATACATCTTGTCAGGATTTGTAGCAGGATTTGTACCATGATAAAAGYGACATTTCATGCAAAATCCATMTTTCAAGCTGTTGCATTTTGTTCTGTTGGAGTCTCCAGGAGAGCACCAACATGTAAGGCTGGATGAACAAGTCTTCTCTTGTTCACATTTTTTAATTAATTTGTGAAAAAAAGTTTTGGTGCAGCTATGTAGTCGTAACCCCCTCCATCAAACAGCAATAAACTGCCCTGGAAGCTGGAAAGGGCAGGGTGTGAAGTATCTATTTTGGATTTAAAGATACGGCATCAAGGGGGCAGTTCCCCTGGATTGGCAGACCGGGGTGGTGGTCCCCCTATTTAAAAAGGGGGACCGCAGAGTGTGTTCCAACTATAGGGGGATAACACTTCTGAGCCTCCCTGGTAAGGTCTATTCGCGGGATGGAGAGACGGCATCAAAACGAGTTGATCTGAGACACACCTCAGAAAAAGAAGAGGGACTTGTGGAGTTAAAATAAGGAGGAATTCAGACCAAAGCATTGCAGTCCCACTTTATATAGACCCCAACTGAATGATTTAAATGTAAAAACAAAGGATTTAAAAGCATGATATGTCCTTTTAAAAACTTAACCATGAAGGTATTCAGTAGTTGCAAATATTTCCACTTACAGAGAGACACAGATGAAGAAGTAAGGGAGTTCCTGCAAAACAACCTCCATCTCCAGGGCAAGGTATCATATCTGAGCTGCAATAAGTGTTTACATCTGAAAAAAAATCAGGTTTGGGAGATCATCAGACACATCACATTTCAGAGACATCTGTGATACTTCTTTATAAAAAGGTGGACAACCCCTCCATGCGCTGGCAAATGGCTTTATATAAGGAGATGGCAGGAAAGGCTGAAGATGCTGATGCTCCGGTGAAAGTTGTTAAAAGAGTGCAGGAGGTTTCTGCTGTCCTCTATCATCTTGAAGTGGTAAGTGCTCTTTCATCTTGATATGGTACCTTTTAAATATGATACCTTAAATGTTTTTGTCAAATGGGAGTATCTCAGTTCATTTTGGAACCTATTATTCTTAGAGTTCAATCTGTTTTAATTAAAAAACACTTCTTTTGCGGGTCCAGTTTCACAAAACACAACATTGCCTTGCAACAGTTTTTCTAATGATTGTCAAATTCATTGGCCTAGCAATGTCCCTCATCAAAAACATACCAGAGTGTTGCTTTGACTCAGTCATGCATGTCTGTAGAATCCTTGAATCTCCTGTGGTAGCCACTTACACATTTGCTGGTACAAAGCTCCACCTATTTACACAAAGCTCCTCCGTGGAGCTCAGTCTGCAGCCGAACCCCCGCCCCTCAAAGCACCGCTCTGCTGAAGCATTGTTGTGAAGATGTGCTGAAGTGGGAGTGTTGGAAACGGTAGGAGGTACTTAAAGAGACGGAGGCCAGTTTCAAGGCAATGATGCAAAGTCAAATTTATTTTTGATATATACAGCATTTTCATAACAACTGTAGGTAACATAGTTATTTGATTGTGGTATAGAATTGAACTATGTGCCTGCAAAATACATAATTATCAGAGATATACAAGCATAGATGAAGATTCTTAAATCTGATCAAAAACAAAATGAAAATTTTACGTATAAAAAGCAACTTATCTTCTCAGTTGTTTTGAAAATGGCCTATATGATTATTTTCACACATTTGCAAAAGACCTCAGTGTAATTTTAGACTATGCCTTTAAATTTYATAAACAGAATAAGCTCAGTTGTCAAGATAAGATTGGGTTTTATGACGATGACACAAAAATTCATGTCTTTATTACATCTTATTTATAGATCCCTGTGGTTTGACAAGCCGTCAGACTGTACACTTTTTACAGCACTTTGGTCACTCAGTACTATTTTAAAATGTTCCATAAATAGACTTTGACATGTCATGACTTATCTATGTTGTTAAATAGATTTACAATCGAATGGTTAACCTTCAGATACGTATTCAGTAAATACCTTTATTGGGCTGTACTGTGCGTTCCTTCCACATAAATGTCATATTTCCACATTAAATAAAGCATACAGAGGAATATGAATGAGAAAAATCAGTTCTGTCTCTGTTAGACGGAGCATCCTTTTAAATCCAAGAAGATGGTTTGGCACAAATTGTTGTCCAAGCAGAGACGCAGGGCTGTGGTCGCTTGCTTCAGGATGACACCGCTGTATAACATTGCAAGGTAAGACAGTGGTTAAAGTTGTGATAAATGGTTRGTGATACTAGTATTAGCAGTTGAATACACTGCTAATACTAGTATTTAATTGTGTTTTCTGTTTGAAACAGGCACAGAGCTTCAAARATGTTCCTGGAGGGCTACAAACGTAACTGGATTCAAACTGAGGGTTACTCATTTGAAGACAGGATGATAGACGATTTATCTGTGAGATACATCTGGCATCTGCTTCATATAGAGCTGTTTTTTTTTTCTAAGTCACTACTCACTTTTCTTTTCTTTTTGTTTGCATACCAGAAAGCAATGGAGCAGGAGGAAGCAGAAGAAGAGGAGGAAAGGGAAACAAAACCAGATCCCCTTCACCAGCTTATTCTTCATTTCAGTCGTACTGCTCTGACAGAAAAGAGGTTAGACCGGTTCGCTGCGATCCTGTGAGATAAAATGCTGTTGAACCACAGCCTCAGAAAGTTGTCACACTATTCATAAATCATGAGACTGTCTCCTTCTAATTTAGTAAACTTGACACAGATCACCTTTACATGGCATACGCAGACATCATGGCAAAGGTGAGTCATGAGCAAAGATTTTAGCAAGGAGCTTTGGTATTTGTCAAGTTTTTACTGGAAAACAAGTTTTTTAAAACTTCTTCTCCATTCGTTTAGAGTTGCCATATGGGTGAGGAAGAAGAAGGGGGAGATGAAAATGCTGAGGATGAGATGTCCTTTGAGGTGCGACAGTCAGAACTGGTAATGGGCGTCCAGGGGCTAGGGACCAGGAACACAGTGGAGCGGTAGCTCTCGATGCACTGAGTGACTCATCATTGGAGCATTACGTCACAACCACATCCCTCTCTGTCTTTATGTCTCATCACATTCACATGCTTTGTCTGTGCTTGTATGCTGAATGTCATTTGTTAGTTTCTCGTATTAAAGCTTGAAGCTTTTGTTATTGACTCAATATCCTACTAACAAAATAAAATTTAAAAAATCAGATTCTAATTTTAAAAAAATAATCCTCTCACTAAAATAAATTCACTTTTAGAACAGCTTCAATAAATAGATAATAATATTAAAGGCACAGTGTGTAGGATTTTGTCAATTCTTTTAGCCGAAATTGAGATAATCACTAATGACAATAATAAAAATCATGTCTAATCATTGCAGACAAAGACCTTGTTTTATTATTTTTACCTTATAAAAAGCTGTTTATATCTCCATGGTCACGGGTCGCCATTACAGGCAGCCGCCATCTTGCACCGCCATCTTGTCTACGAAGGCTCATGAAGGACAAAATGCGGTGGCGGCGTCAAAAACGGTTTTAGTTGTAATACTATAAATGTAATATTTGTTGTCTGTCATTGTAGCTGGGATAATTTTARTTATTAAAGCTCATAATCTTACCACTTGAAACATCACTAGCCCTGAAGCTGCTGGTAGACATCGCGGTTGGAATTATCAAAGGTTTTTGACACCTGAGACACACCGTAGCAACTCCTAAGTGTATCGAAGCGGGGAGTGGGGGTGGGGGGAGGACCAGGGAGGATGATTCAACCACTCAACCACTAGATGTCGCTGAAAACAACAAATCATTCACCCTGTGCCTTTAAGAGTCTGAAATCATAATACAAAATATTTTACTTTAATGAAAGACGACAAGTTTATTCGTTTTGAGACAATATCAAATCCAACTCTTCCCTTTTCCATTGGTGGATAGTTACTCCTATTACAACTCCTGCTTCAACTTCAAAACTGATTGGTTAATCAAGATTAAGATTGTTTTCTTCTTTCTGCATCCTTTCACTTCATTTTATTAGTCATTTGTATTTTTATTGTGTATATAAAAAATCTTTATTTTTAAATAAATAAATAAATAAATAAATAAATAAATAAATAAATAAATAAATAAAAATCAAATTGTCCATCCAAAATTACACTCATATGTATTTTTAAGATCTGACAAGGAAACTGATCATTCTGACTGAAGAAAAATCTGCCTACAAACCAAAATAAACTGATTTGTACGGAGCCCGCAAGGTGACACTGGAGATTTTTTTTTCTTTTGTGTTCCCACGCAATAGTATTAAGTTACCTCGCAATACCTTTTGCGTTCCCTCGCAAAAGTCGTTTATCACTGTTGTGCCTGCTGGTTTATTAACACATTCATGTGTTCACCATTAGCGTGTTAGCCTACTACTTTAATTCAGCTTCAGAATGAATCTATCACACAACCACACATGGAAGTATGCCATATACRAATATTTTAACACAGTGCAGCCACGCAACAGCAATGTCAATTTCAAGAACTTGTGACGACACATCCTGTTTTGGTAACCAGATATTTCAAAATAAAAGTCTGATTTAATTCAGTTCATATACAAAATAAACTTTTGCGTGGGAACGCAAAACAATTTTGTGAGGTTACGCAAAAGGATTGTGTGGTAATGCAAAGATTTTGCGAGGTAACACAATAGTATTACGTGGAAACGCAAAAGAAAAAAATCCACTTGTGTCGCCTCGCAGGCTCCGTAGATTTGTTCTTTTTTTTTTTTTTTTTTACAAGGCAAAACTTTTTTAACATGCAACGTCTAGAGAAAACACAGAAACGAGCTTGTGTCACATCATTATAATACAGGTCATGGATTATTTTTTAAATTATTTAATAAACATAAGTGAAATAAATTGTCGGACCCCTTCAGGGTGGGAGTTCACCAGGTCTGCACGTCGTCACCGATTCCGTTCACAGTTTTCATGGACAGAATTTCTCGATGTCGGTTCAACCAACTCCGTCTTTCCTCTTTATTTTGAACTAAAAGTTGACTTTGACTGACAGCACTAGCTGCCTCTGCAGACCATTACCACATTCCACATGTGCAGAACCCCAGGCACTGTTCTCATTTACTCATCCTGTGCTGACAAGCTTTGTTTGTTGGCCATAAACACTTTGTGCTTTGCCCCCGATGTGTCATTTCACAATACTAAAAAAGAATAATTTTTGAAAAGACCTTCAGAACCTTTGTTAATGCCTATAAAGAAATGTGGAGTTAGACAGGCCTAAACTGTTAGGATTATTTTCTTCTATGGTTTATCTGTTTAGTTTTTGAAAGAAACAAACTTCCTGTCTGAAAATATTCAGTAAGCCTTAATAGATGTGTCATTCCTCCCTGTTTATATATCTGTTTGTTGTGTCCTTCTCTCTGTTGCTGTCCCCATTGTTCCATGTAATTCGTCTCACCATAGCACAGGTCTTTATTAACCGAATGTTACTGATCAATGTTCCCCTCCCCCACTCACATAGCATACTGACAGACTATAGTGAAAGCCAGAGTAGAACATGCAACACTAAAAGCKTTGCATACAGTCCCAGTTTTAACTCAGTTTTATGTTTTAGTGCAAGCTGGACTCAGACAAGCAGTGACAATGCACAAGTTTTAGGTCCAAATGCAAAAAAAAAAAAACACATAGTGGGTAGTTCACAGTAGTTATATGTGGGTGGGAGGGATGAGGGGTGGGATTGAGGGCTGCAAGGAAAGCCTTTTGGTTATAATGCTGAACAGATGAATGATGTTTAACTTCACAATTTTTTGTTTTTCAGCTTTCATCTTTCTGCAAATGTTATTTATTAAATCAGTTTGTTYGTTCAGTATTTTAGAGCTTTTGTTTAAAGAAGCATATATTACTGTGAAATGTCAAACAATCATGTGCAGAGGGGTTACAGCTTTTGTCCAAAGCATCTTATTTGCAGAGTTTCTGCAAKTGGGACACTTTGGAAAGCTGCCTGGCTGATGTGGTAAGCCACTGGGGCTGTTTTCTGTAGTCCAACGCTTGCTCCAGTCAGCAAACTTGAGGAAGTAGTGTAACAACTCCATTACTAATGAAATGAGATGGCAGAATGTGTGGAAGAATCAGACTTTGACATGTCAACAATAACCTTTAATTGCTGATGCATGTAAAACAAAAACTACCGTAGATGAAAACAAGCATTTAATTTGTAGATAAATAATTAAATTTAAGATTTGATAATTGTTGCTGAATTTATTTACAAAAAATATTGACTCACAGTATTGCTAAAACATTGTTTAATTTTTAGTGAAGTAATAAAGGAAAAAATAGGGACTTTTATGAAAGGGGAGTGATTTGAAATTAAAATTATAGCTCTAAATTAATAGAAATTCCTGTTTTTGGAAGAGCAGTTGTGTAAAATGAGAATAAGTATCTTACTTGACAATAGTAGACAATGATCAGGGTGCTTTTATTTTGAAGAATCAGAGGATTCTGTGGTCCTGTATCTTTGGGACCTCTGCTCCTTGTATTCTCTCTGCTCCACCTGCTTAACTCTCATTCTCACACACATACTACAACAGACAGTTTCTTTTTATTCATGAGCACAGAAATGTGATCGAATGTTAAACATTTGCGCAGCAAAAAGGCCCATCTCTCACCACCGTTAAAATTATTTGTGATTCTCCAAAGGAAGAGCTTTTGGTCTGCTGTTTTCTGCATGTCGACAGTTAAATGGAAATGCTTTATTTCCCAAGAAACTGAAGGCGTTTGAGGCAAAACAAAACTAGCTCAAGCAGTTTGGCTGCCAGTAACTGAGAAAAACAATGGAGGAAAGGAACACACCTCTAACAYCACTGAACATACAGTAAAACTCAGCTGAGCACCTAAAACTCACAGGAGAACAAAAGAACATCAGAGTACTCAAACACACAATCTAATTAGAAGCTTATAAAAATAATACTAGAAAGAAAGAAATACCTGTTAATTATATTTATTATAAAGATGGAATGAAAACACAACCCAACTTCCAATCCCCTGAACCTAAAGGTATACATTATCCTGATAAATACTAAATTAAATACCTGATCAGCAAGTCATAAAGTCGTTTTTCTATTATAGAGTCCAATCTTTATGAATATTTGATGCGYTAACAGATACTCAAAATGCTTCTTTTTTCTACAACAGGAAAAAGAAATGGAGAAGCAAAGGCTCCTGTARCAGCAGTCCAGGCTTCATAACCGCGGTGCTGCAGAGATGGTCCTGCAAATGATCAGTGCATGCAAAGGTATTCTTCCTCCTTTTAACTCAACAGTTTTCCCTCCAAACCGTATGTGTTAATACATCTGTTTCCTTTAGGTGAAACTGGCCCGATGGTATCTACAACCCTCAAACTGGGTATTTCTATCCTTAATGGTGGAAACAGTGAGGTTCAGAGGGTATGTTTTTTTTTTTTACTAAATCCTTTCCGATGTAATTTATAACTCAAAAACAATTTTTATTGTATTTTCTTTCTGTTGTCAGAAAATGCTTGAATACCTGAAAGACAAGAAGGACGTTGGTTTCTTTTTGAGTGTCCAGGCACTGATGCAGACTTGCTGGTCAGGTTTTAGTCACAAAGACGTCATTCTTCATAACAGAGTTACATAAAGTGAGGCATTCGAAGTCAATATAATTTATTGTTGCAGTGTTCTGGATCTAAACGCCTTTGAGAGGCAGAACAAGGCAGAGGGGCTTGGTATGGTTTCGGAGGAAGGAACGAGTAAGCCAGCATCTTTTCTCATTTGAGATACAGCAGCAGTCACGCTCTTGTTTTGTTATAATTTTGGAAGAAACTGAGCATAATGTTGAAAAACTTCCTTGCACATTAATGTCTGCAAYCATTACTGAATAAGAAGTTCACATTATGTCTGGATAACAAATTAAATGTACCTCAGACTACTTTGCTGTATTCTGTCAACAATAAGTGAGTATATGTTAATATACTGTAAATACAAGATGTTTTTATTGTTAGATTTATTTTATCTATATGCTTATCAGTACATATTATTTATTTAGTAGAATGATTAGTTTCCTAACGTTAAGTATTAATAACAGTAAAAGAATTTCACTCATGTAGTTTAGTTTTAACTTTAGTTAAAGTCATTCCATTTGTACGTCTAGTAGTTTGACATGCCATTTAGACTTCACCATGTTGTAGTCGTCTAATTCTGACAGTTAATTTAGAGCAGTCTACCTGGATGAATTTGTCATGGAATGTTGTTAAATTCCCCCTCCTCATCTCTCCTTGTCAACACACTGATCCTCCTTCCTGTCCCCACAATCACTGCCACTTGTCCCATCTCCCTCCTTTCACGGTCCTCAGACATGAACCTAGACCGGGGTAAATCATCTTTCCTTCCATCGGCCTCTCTGTTCTCTCATTTTCCTCTTTCTCTCGCTCCCTCTTGCTTCTCTTGGTCCATCACTTCCTTTTTTTTTTCTAACAATGTGATTTTTGTCAAGATGATTGTCCATCGCTCACAGCTTGTGTGGCCTTCTCCCACGTCTTCATTTTAAAATGTACTGAACGGAATCTAATGCCTCCTCCCTCATTTAAAACTGTTCTGGTTGTCTTAATGTGTGGCCACAAATATTGTTGTACCTCAAAACCTGTTCGTAAGTGAGCAGTAGGTTTGAGATACACAATATAAAGAACCTGCATTCAGTTTTAACTGAACCATCTCATCTCTAAAATGCAAAAGAGGGAAGTTTTACATTTAAATAGAAACCTAACTCCTCACATTTAAGTTGTAGAATGATTAGAAACATTTGGTCTCTGACTCTGATAAACTCTCACTAGATTCCTTTCAGCATTTTGATGGACAACGTCCCAACCTTGTTGACATTAAACTTGTTTGTGTGTTGATCGCAGGCAGTGGTGGAATGGGATTTTTTAAAAATACTTTAAGTTCACTTTAAAACTGTCCAAAGTTGTTTAATTGTATGAAACATTTTTTCTTATCATTTTGCCACAAACAGGTGCTAGTTTAGAACTTACTGGTCTCAAATTTCAGAGCACATTACCTTTACGCAGCCGACTTTAAGGGTAAATCAACTGATTTTAAAGGGGCAATATCATGGAAAATCAACTTTTTTTGAGTTTTATATCATGTTAAAATGTTATACTCTCATAAAAAACATGCCCAAAGCCTTGCTTTGACTCATTCCTGCATGTTTGAGAAATCCTGCAGCGTTTTTAGGCAGCCATGCTGAGGAGCAAAACGACAGGTGGGGACCAGAAACACCTCTGGGACGTGTCTTTAAGCCGAACTTCCTCATCACGGAGCACACCTACCCACCCCCCACACCCCGCCCATGACTCCTGCAGGCTCTCGGCAGTAACAGAGCAAAGTGAAAGTGAAACTTAAACTGTCTGCTGCTCTTAACACTACTGCTGACAGTGAAGCTCTTTTCAGATTCAAAATACCTTTGAGGAAATGTATTTTCAGATGCCAAGTAAACTACATCATAGCACACCCCCCCTCTACAAACACACTGAAATGGGTGAGACAGAAGCGGAAGGTGGTTCTTAAAGAGACAGAGGCCAATTTCAAGGCATTTAGAAGAGGAAATGATGAGGAGATAAGTTTATTTTCTATTTAAACATAAAAACAGCATTTTAATAACAGCTAAAGGTGACATAGATACTTTATTATGGTATAGTATTTAGATATATGCCTGAGAAACACATAATATTGCCCCTTTAAATTTATTATCTTTGTGTCTGAAATAAACTGAAGCAGACAAGAGATGTTTGTTGCTGTTGTCATAATGTGAACTTGGACAAATCTTAGCTACAAAAAATAAAAATAAAAATCTAGATTTGTAAATAAATAGATAAGACCTAAATGAATAATTGTGAATGGCATCATAATTTATACAGCAGAAATAGTTTTTTTTTTAAAGTAAGACCTGTTGGTGGCAGAGATTTTGAAATCTAGCTGAGATGGTACTTTTCAAAACAAGTGAAAACACTTTTTTATGTGCAACTCTTGGTATATTTATCAGTTAGAAATTTAATTTCTCCTTTTCTTTTTTACAGTCTTTATTGCATTTGTGTTTTTCTGCTATAACATCAGCGATAAATTCCAGTTCACCCCTGCATATTGTAAAGTTTTGACTTTATTGCCACAGTTGTTTTATGCAACAGAACACTCATTTTTAAGTTAATGRGTTTTTTTCATTGGGGCTGTATGTTGGTTGTTGTCAGTGTTTATCTGCACCTTGTTTTGACACGATTTTGTTTTGCATGTGGTGTTGCACATGCTCGATGTTGACTGACATGCGACTATATCACAGAGCGCACTGTATTTTTTTATTTATTGTGATTTCTACAGTTTAGTGTCATTCAGTTCTTGATTATCAGAATAAACAAACGGTAGGTGTTGTGATGTGTGAGTCTTAAACCTGTTTAGAGATGGTGGTAAGTTGAGTAATACATTTTATTTATTATCTGTTACTCAGGTAAAATGATTCAGTTATCACATAAAATATTACTTTTAATTTATAATCTATCTTAAAAATCCTATTTGTTTTATTAATTTTCTAGATGAGAAAGTGATGGCAGATGATGAGTTCACCTGTGACCTATTCAGATTCCTGCAGCTGCTCTGTGAAGGCCATAATAATGGTGGGAAATGCTCTTTTTTTCTGAAGGAAGGTTGAGCTAAAATCAAATCAGTAATACGTTTTGTCAGAAGCAAACATTTCAAGCTGATTATCTGTGTTTTGCTGCAGATTTTCAAAACTACTTGCGGACACAGACAGGAAGCACAACAAGCATCAATGTCATCATCTGTACTGTGGATTACCTCCTCCGACTACAGGTGCACTTGGACAGTAATCTATCCTGCAGATGGTGCACTTCATAAAAACTTTAAATAATGAACTTGAAGCCAAAGCCTGGGATTAAAATGACACAGAACATTTCATGAACACCCAACATTAAAATCAAAACAGATAATTCAGACAATTGTAGTATTTGCACATTCAAAGTTGAAAGATTTTTGATTATTATTTCTTGTTGCCCTGTTTTGTTTTTGTTTTTCCATTCTAGGAATCCATCAGTGATTTTTACTGGTACTACTCTGGCAAGGATATCATTGACGATCCAGGCAAAAAGAATTTCTCCAAAGCCATGACGGTGGCAAAGCAAATTTTTAACAGTTTAACTGAATATATTCAGGTACATTTTTCACAAATTACGCATAATGTGCTGGTTGGTTGTAATTTGGTGTGTAACAAACAGCTTTTGTCCTCAGGGTCCATGCACCGGCAACCAGCAGTCCTTGGCCCACAGCAGACTGTGGGACGCTATCGTGGGATTCCTTCACGTCTTCGCCCACATGATGATGAAGCTGGCCCAGGTACAGTTGTAGAAACAATCAAATTCAAATAATTATAGAAATAAAGAAACATTGTGTGTTATTTCAGTTTGAAAACATTGCATTTGTCTCATTAACATTTTCAGCTGTGAAGGCTGAAGGTCTTGTATTTGTATTACAGTTTTATTAGTTGTCTAACCCAAAATGCAGGCAAAAGAGGCTTGATAAATACAAAATAAGTATTTATTAAACAAAAGGTGCGAACAAGGCAGCCAAACTTCCAAAGAAACTGGAACTCAGAGGATCAAACAGGAGGGAACAACATGAAGATGTGAAAACATGAAGCTGGCCTCCAGACCTGACACAGAGAGGAGACTATAAAGAGACAATTGACTATGAGGGGCAGGTGGGAGTGGCTGGCTGGGGAAACACAGGGAAGAAAAGTGAGACAAACATAAAACAAAGCAGAGATGCTCATAATGTCATGTCCACAGGACTTTTTAAATTGCCAAGTCTTTAAGACTGTTTTAGTTTATGCATTTATTAGTGTTTATCTTGTTCACAAAGACAAACCTTTCTCACAATCTTTATGTGACACACTTGCCAGCTTTAGGATAATTGAGCCTAAGCAACTATTTCCTTTATGCTTAAAAACTGCATTTCGAGTTTCAGACCTCTTTGATTTCTTTCAATGTACATGGTAAAAATGGTATTCGCAGTTCAAAACAATGTTCATGTTCAGAGTTGTTCTTTATTTTTTCTGACACATACAATGAATCAATCACTGTGCCTCAAAAAAATCTGTCATGTTTTGTAAACTTTCCAGAAAAAAACACTTTCTAATTTTAGTGTGTTTAATCATTTCTAACTGATTCTGCTAGGAATAAGGACAAAACAGCATTATATCTTTGCATCAGTCTGTTTTTTTTATTTGTTTTTTGTTTTTATTTTCATTAAAGAAACACTGAAAACWGTGAACCAGATTTAGAAACCTGTTAGTGTGAATCCAGGTCATATCGGGACATTTTATGGCTGCTTATGAATAATTTAATCCCTTGTTTCTCTTGACTCTGCTCAGCTGCTTTTAACTCCCTGAACCAGGCCATGGCCACATTACCCACAATTCCACCTGTTTGTGAACTGCTTAAAGTTGTCATTAATCAAAATAAAATCATCTGATTTTTGTTAAACTAAAAATTACTATACTATATTTATATTTTAGACCTCATGTGATAATTGATATTTCAGTCAATATTTGTTTAAACATGCTGTATAAGTAGTGTTAAACCTTTTATTTGAGTTTTCAGTTTCCCCAAAGACTAGTGTGTTTATTAGGGCTGTGTATTTGCAAGAATTTGGCGATACGATACATATCATGACAAAGGGGTCACAATACGATATATCCCGATATATTGCGATACTGTAAGCAAGGCAAAATATTGCGATTTTTTTGGTCCAAAAACTCTGTTAAATAAAAACCTCTTACTGGGGGAAAAATGAAAAACCAAAATTCATTGTCTCAGAAAATTCTAAGATTACATAGACATAATTTTGATACATTTAGCTGTGTTCTGCTTTGTATGTGTCTTATTTTATTTGTTTCACATTTCTTATTTCATCCATGTTTTCAATTATCAGACTAAATTTGCCAATAAATAGTTTGAAAATATATTTTTTGCAGCTTTTAGTTTTTAATATTAATTTACAATATGGTCACCCAACACTTAATAATAGCCTCTACCTCAAGAGGTAGAGGAGCCAAATGGCTGGCTCACTGCTGCCAACTAGTGGTCAGAYGCTGAACTACAACATAAAAATGAACGGCTGGCAGGAAAGRTGACATTTTAAACCTTAATAAAAAAWAMCGARACAGGGCTTTAGAATATCGATACATTATCGGGAAATGAAATATTGCGATATTTCAGTGTATCGATATTTTCTTACACCCCTAGTGTTTATATTGCTTCTCTTTGTGGCTCCATAATTGACATTATTTTAAAATGTGTGTATTTTTCAACTACAGGACTCCAGTCAGATTGGTTTGTTAAAGGAGCTTCTTGACCTGCAGAAAGACATGGTTGTCATGTTGCTCTCATTATTAGAGGGTAAATAAGCTTTTATAAATTGCTTATTTGATTTAATTATGACTTAACCCTTTTTATCCTTTTAAAATCTTGTTTTTATATTTTACTTAGGGAACATAGTAAATGGCACCATTGCGCGTCAGATGGTGGACATGTTGGTTGAGTCCTCCAGCAATGTGGAGATGATACTCAAGTTTTTCGACATGTTCCTCAAACTAAAAGACATTGTAGCTTCAGATGCTTTCCGTGATTACATCACAGACCCCCGAGGGCTGATCTCCAAGAAGGACTTCCAGAAGGCCATGGACAGTCAGAAACAGTACGCCCCTTCTGAGATCCAGTTCCTTTTGTCCTGCTCAGAGGCTGATGAGAACGACATGATCCACTATGAGGAGTTTGCCGGTCGTTTCCAAGAACCTGCCAAGGACATTGGCTTCAACATCGCAGTACTGCTCACCAACCTGTCTGAACACGTACCCCATGACTCCAGGCTCCAGAACTTCTTGGAGCAAGCAGAGAGCGTACTGAACTACTTCCGCCCTTTCCTGGGCCGCATAGAGATAATGGGCGCCAGCAGAAGGATCGAGCGCATCTACTTTGAAATCAGTGAAGTGAACCGCCGACAGTGGGAAATGCCGCAGGTGAGAGAGTCCAAACGGCAGTTCATATTCGACGTGGTCAACGAAGGCGGGGAATCGGAGAAGATGGAGATGTTCGTCAACTTCTGCGAGGACACCATTTTCGAGATGAATATAGCTTCCAAAATTTCAGAGCAGGAGGAAGAGGAAAAGGGGGAAGAGGATGATGAAGGAGACGAAGGCGGAGGCGAGGGAGGACAGGGTGGGGCTGCGGGCAGCACAGGGGATGAGGAAGGTAACGGCGAGGGAGGACAACCCGAATCGACCTCTGCCTTCGCAGACTTTCTTCACAGCATGTCCAGCTTCCTGAGCATTTTCACTTTCCGTAACCTTCGTCGGCAGTACCGCAGAGTGAGAAGGATGACCTTCAAGGAGATCATTGTGGCTTTGTCCATTTTTTTCTGGACCATCCTGATGAGTATCCTACACTTCATCTACAACGTGTGCAAAGGCTTCTTCGTGATCATCTGGCAAGCTCTGTTTGGAGGTGGCTTGGTGGAGGGAGCTAAAAATATCACTGTGACAGAGATTCTTGCAAGTATGCCGGATCCCACACAGGATGATGTGCATGGAGATGGACCAGGGGAGACAGGGACAGGTGAAGAACAGGATGCTGGAGGGCTAACAGACACGGGTGAGACTGGGAGTGGTGAGGAAGAAGAAGAGGATACCCAAGAAAATGAGGGACGGATCCCAGGAATGGATGCTCCAGGTGGGCTTGGAGATATGGGTATAGAGGAACCTGTTGAGCCCCCAACCCCTGAAGGAACTCCTATAGCAAAGAGAAAAATGGTTTGTGGAAATAAAATGGATGTTTTCATTTCAGGGTTTTAAAAAGTTGGGGCGTAAGTGTGATCTGTCAATCACCAAGTCTTGTTTTATTTTGTCACAGGCGCCAGAAGAGTCCGATGCAAGCCAAAAACCTCCAGAGCCTGCTCCTGTAGAGGAAACCCCTCCACAACCAGAAAAGTCTGAGTAAGCCTTAATATTTTTGTTGTTGTTAATAAAGGTCATCCACAATGCTATAACATACTACAATACAATAAAATGGCACTCGTAACAGAGGAATACAAAAACTAAAGGACAAAGTCCATCCAGAAATGACAACCATCTACAAACACAGGAATGTTAAAAGGATTGTACATTTGCAGCTGTATTAATCTGACCTTTAGAGATTACAAAAATCATAGAGTAAGTGTTGTGTGTGTTTATGTTTTCAAGTGCTGAATCTGGAGAGAAATCAGAAAAAGAACCAAAAAGCAGAGAAGAACAGCAGCCACAACAACTAAAGAAATGTCCACCAAAAAAAGAAAAGAAGCAGAAAAAGGAAGGAGGTTTTCAAATCTGGACTGAGCTGGAAACCCAAAGGAATAAATTTATGGTGACACAGTATCTTCTCTTTATTTTAAATGGGATCTATTGGCACAATTGTGGTGGTATTGTAACAAATATCCATCTGTCTTTACTAGAATTACCTTTCGAGAAACTTCTACAACCTGCGCTTTTTGGCTCTGTTCCTTGCATTTGCCCTGAACTTCATTCTGCTCTTCTACAAGGTAAAACAACACCATTATATTTATATTTAAATTATTGCTTCTTTTGGTCAAATGTCACCTTTATGGACTATAACTGAGTTATGAAAAGGTTCTTCTGTTTTAATGTTTCTCTGTTGTGTTAAGGTATCTGATACTCCGCCTGAGGGGGAGGAGATGGAGGGATCTGGACTTTCAGAGGGAAGCGAGCTGTTTGAGGGCTCTGGCCTGTTTGAAGGCTCAGGAGAAGACTTTGAGGGATCTGGACTGAATGGAGGCGGAGATGAAGATGAGGAAGAAGTCCTGCTTTATTATTATTTAGAGGAGAGCACTGGATACATGCAGCCAACACTGGCCTTCCTCGCCATCCTACACACAGTCATTTCATTTATCTGTATCATTGGGTACAATTGTCTAAAGGTATACATGACCCAGTAAGAGATATATTTTATGGTATTTCAGAGATTTATTTTTAAACACATGAATCTGAACAGTTTTTGTTTCTGTCAGATTCCACTGGTGATCTTTAAAAGGGAGAAGGAACTTGCAAGAAAGCTGGAGTTTGATGGCCTCTACATCACTGAGCAGCCTGAGGATGATGACATTAAGGGACAATGGGACCGATTAGTCCTGAATACACCGTAGGAGCTAACAAAAGTGTCTCTTTATCAAATAAACCCTTTCTTTTTGGTTAAGGTAATAAATGATTTTGTTTGTCTTTGCAGCTCTTTCCCAAACAACTACTGGGACAAATTTGTCAAACGAAAAGTGAGTTCTTGTTTGTTGTGGTATTAAGGTTGCACATGACCGTGTGTAATATAATGTAATGTCTGCTTGTCCAGGTCCTAGATAAGTATGGAGACATTTATGGAAGAGAAAGAATCGCTGAGCTGCTTGGTGTTGATTTAGCCTCTCTGGATGTGAGTCAACAACATGAGAAGAAACAGGAGGAACCAGACAACTCGGTGTTTGCATGGTAGAGTACAGCTCAACCAATCAGGACGAGCCAATGAAGAACACGTGACTTAAAGTGCCTGCGGCATGTGTATCCTACAAATCCAAAAAAGTCAAAGAAAACATCTTTCTATTTAAGAAATGTGACATAATACACACATTTTGTCACATAACATATTTTCTTTTGAACTTTGTTCATCTAAAATGAAACAGGAAGTGACATCAAAGGGAAACTCATTAAGAAAAGGAACTTCCTGGTCTTTGTTTATTGAAACAATATAATTTAAACTCTGACTCTTCATCTTTCTGAAAGTGACTCAAAATAACCTAAAGAAACATCAGATTCTTCTCTACAGCCTGTGTTGTTTGCCTCTGTAGCTCTGTTCTTACGCAGACATTCCCCTTTGACATCACTTCCTGTTACTTCACATGTGAATATCTCAACAACTGTTCATCTCAGTGGAGTGATTTTTTTTGCAGTATCTTATCAATATTATATTTCAAAAAATGCGTTCATAAATATTACAAAAAAAAAAAATGTCACAGCCCCTTTAAACCTGAAATGATTATTTTAAATGGAACGTTTTGTCTTTCAGGTTGACCTCCATTGACATCAAGTACCAGATCTGGAAATTTGGAGTTGTTTTCACTGATGGTGTAAGAGAATGTGCACTTGTGTTTTCCACCCAGTTTTGTTCTGTTCACATTTCTAATTTAATGTATGTGTTTCTGTAGACTTTCCTTTATCTCTGTTGGTACCTGGTGATGTCCTTGCTTGGCCATTACAACAACTTCTTCTTCGCCTGTCACCTGCTGGATATCGCGATGGGTGTGAAGACGCTCCGTACAATCCTGTCCTCAGTCACACACAACGGCAAACAGGCAAGAGCAGAAAAACACTCTACTAAAGTATTTTTTTTAATCTAATCCGTCCAGACCAATATTTTTATTATTTTTCACGTCTCCGCAGCTCATGATGACGGTGGGCTTGCTGGCCGTGGTGGTGTACCTTTACACTGTCGTGGCTTTCAATTTCTTCCGCAAGTTTTACAACAAGAGCGAGGATGAAGATGAACCAGATATGAAATGCGATGACATGATGACAGTACGTCACGACTGGTTATAATTTATATGACTTTTCATCACCTCTTAGCGTGAATGTTTGCATTTGTCTTTCCCAGTGTTACCTGTTCCACATGTACGTGGGCGTTCGTGCCGGCGGAGGCATCGGAGATGAGATCGAGGATCCTGCAGGAGATGAATATGAGCTCTATCGAGTGGTCTTTGATATCACTTTCTTCTTCTTCGTTATTGTCATTTTACTGGCCATTATTCAGGGTAAAGACAAAGCATGTGACCTATAAAAGACACTTCTTAAATGTATTTATGTTTTTTATTTAATTAAAGTAAGTAAGAAACAGTCTTTTACGAGAGATTTTCATAAAAAGCTTCTAATTATCATCTTATATAAAACCGCTGCAGGTCTGATCATTGATGCTTTTGGAGAGCTCAGAGATCAACAAGAGCAGGTTAAAGAAGACATGGAGGTACACTTTAATACTTGTACTTGAAAACAACATTTTCAGTTTTGTTTAAATAAAAGGTTGTAATCCTCATCATTGATTTTTTTATTTTTCTCAGACAAAATGCTTCATATGTGGCATCGGGAGTGACTACTTTGACACAACACCGCATGGCTTTGAGACCCACACTTTTGATGAACACAACTTGGCCAACTACATGTAGGCGTGTCACCATTGTGTTACAGTTTTAACTGCTTGTAAGAATAAGAAAAAAAATAATATCTGCATATTTTTCAGGTTCTTCTTAATGTATCTTATCAACAAAGATGAGACGGAGCACACTGGGCAGGTCAGTGTAAGATTTATTATTATTATTGTTGTTGTTGTTGTTGTTATTTCTTTACTTGTCTTTTCAGGATAAATTTGAATTATTGTTATTATTGTTTGTGTTTTAGGAGTCGTATGTGTGGAAAATGTATCAGGAACGTTGCTGGGACTTCTTTCCTGCTGGAGATTGTTTCAGAAAGCAATATGAAGATCAGCTTTCTTAGCCACATATTTATATTTTAATCAAAACACAAAAGAGAGCTAGTGAACTGCAACTAATGGGCAGGATTTCCAGCAAACTGATTTTTGTCATTAAAAATGTTAAGTGGAAATATTTTACATGAAGTGCCTTAGCAGTGACACAGTTTGCATCCCAACACYCACAGGGTGCATGTATCTGTAACAGTGTTACCTGGAATTTAACTACAAACCTTGTCTTCATCAGGTTTTGCTTTAGCAACTTTTTACTTGTGATTTTTTTCTCCTCAGTTTTGTCAGCGGTGCCTCTGGAAATGTTTTAATGTGGGGGCGACTGAAAATCCTGGGGTGGCACCAAAACCAAAAGCCATAACAGAATTTCAGGAGATTTGTTCCATTGTCYTATTTGATAAATACAGCAGTACAGGAGTTAGGGACTCACCTTCAGAAATACAGATATATACTTTAATTTTTTTATTTATATTTATATTACTTATTAAGAAATCACTGTCACCACTCAACTTATTGAAGCTTGTTGTCTCCTAAAATCATATTCATAAGAAATTAGTGAATGAGACCCTGAGTTTTGTTTTGTTCAAATACTTCTTTATGTTTGGTTTGAATTTTTTGCATTTTATTTATTTATTTATTTATTTATCAGAGAAAATGAATTGGTGAATAAAACTGTTTGATAAAAATGTTACTAGGATTTTATCTTCATCCTAGTTTGTGTCATTCATGTACCAGCAGTAATAGCAATTTAGTCATTTTTAAACTAGTCATTTTTAATTTGACAACAAAACACAGCAAAGGTTGCAATAAAACATGGAGCAGGAAAACAAGAGTAAATGTGATCGGTTAAAATTCCCCAAATAATTGTTTTTAAAGTTGGATGTTTTTTTCTTTCTTTTTTTTAATTACTTGGATTTCAGAGAAGCAGAACAGTGTTCACACCATAAATGTGAAAATGTGCAACTTTTACAGTTAGGATTCTAGGATTCAAGAAGGGGTCAAGAAAATGTGTTTTTAAAAAAGTCATCAAAAAGTGTTTCYGATCAGGCTTTTAATTTACCACCATTCAAAGTCTTTGTATTTGAATTCAAGCTGCATTTGAATAAATAAAAACCATTTAATACATTTACAGTTCCATGTCATTTTTGCATTTTCTTTCTCATGTTATAAACAGCAGGTGTCGATGTTTTTGAACACTTATATTAGTCAGATTGCACTACTGAAAATGTGTATTTGTTCTCAATCTATGTAAAATAAGTGATATGACAAACATGAAAAAAAAAGATTCTGCAAAGCTGTTTTAGCCAGCATCTCTGCAAATTATCCATCAGTTTGCGTGTGACATCTCAACCTATTTTTTTTTATATCAAGCCGCTGAGCTCTGGAGCATCCCAGCTGACTGGGGATTAAGGATGGGCTTTAAAACTCACATTGAACCTCATGTGCTCTGTGGAACATCCTCAAACATTTTCCTCTGAGCCGGTTCAGCTGACACACATCGTTTGGGAGCATGAACGTGTCCGGGGTTCACCATGGGGTGCTCAGGATGTATGGTGAGTTGGATCAATGTCAGCATCTAAAGGTTTTTCTTTTCCTGTATTTAACATGTAGCTATGGGRATATTTTGCAGTTCACTAGATTATTTTTGGTACTTCTAAAACATGATGCAGAACTTTAATGAATGTTAATTTTATGAAGGATTTGAATGGGAATAAATAACATGAAGTTGTGATTCTAATGATAAAAATATCGGATCTTGTAATTATAATCTTATCAAGTAGAGTAAAAAGCTTATTTTAAATGACTAATAATTTGAGTTAGCATCTAATGCACTGTAAAAAGTGATTTGCTTACCAGGTGAATTTGTTGTGAATATGAGTGTTTTTGTTTGGTGCTTTGTACCGATCGAACCCAACGTCCACAGCCCCCTGATCCTCCCACCATCTGACTCCCTCTAATCTAATCTGGTGGGATGATGGAGCGACACAGTGTTCACTCTTTAATCCACATGTACATTTCTCACGCCGCTGCCATGATCACCGGGACCCCGCCTAATGTCAGTGTTCCCGCCCCTCCCTCCTGTCCAGGTGGATTTCTTTTCAAGCAGTGGAAGAAAAGGTTTCTGCGTCTGACCGCTGAAGGCAGCCTCTTCGTGTGCCACGATACGCTCTCTCCCCCCGACCAGATTGTTTTGTTGCAAAGCGACTGCGAGGCAATCGTGGAGGGCAAGGAGATCCTGGACCTGCCTAAACTGCCTTCTGGTGCGTGCAGGGACTGCTGCTTTGCCCTCATCCTTCCTCAGAGTAAATACCTGTTGCTGCTCTCAGAAACCCCCCCAGAGTGCAGGTGAGTTTCTCACTGCGTACACATTTCTAAATTGCCATTTTCRTTTTTTATTTCCTATACATTTTTATTTTTTTTTTGTATTTCACCTTAATTATATGAGAACATCTCTGCAGTTATCGCGGCTCTTAATAGCAATGAGTTTTCTTTATCAGGAACATACTTAGCACATTCTGTTCCTGTTAACCGTATTCATATTAAAGCATAAATGGATGTGTTGATGTTTGTGTTTTTTCTCATTTTTAGTCAGTGGCTGAATGTGCTGAAAAAGGTGAAAATGGTAAGTTACATGTGTTTTTTTGGAGTAAATGCTTTGAGAAAT